GTTTGGGAATGAACACAAAATAAATGTAGCGAAAAAAAACAATGCCGATGATAGACGATAGTGCAAACTGCCTAAGATGATGGATTGTGAACTCAGTAAAGGGGTTGGTGGTGTATAATGATGAAGAAGATGATGTAGGAGGCCGTATTGTGCAAAAGACGTGGTGATGGACACGAAAGTTACACAAAAGTGAAGGAGAAGTGGATTCTCTAAACAATGCACATAGTTAAAGAGTGCACTGAATAATGTGGTGATCCATAGACATTGTGAAAGCCTCCATATGAGAAAGTTGATCACCAGTGGTGGTCATTAAAATCTAAATTAGTTATTTAAAAATGAAATTCCAGCGTTAAATAGTAAACAAATCTCCCTCTCTCATTTACTAAAATATTTTCATTTTTGATTTATTAACACCTAAAAATAAAGTCAGAGTGCTTTAGTCTTATTATGTCATTGTTAGAGCATCTTCAATGGTACAATGTGTACGGTGCACACGTGCCATGAAAGATGACCACATAAATATTAGTAAATAAATTATTTCTCTCCTTATTTGAATGATTTTATACAGTTTTGGTAAGTTTTTCTCCACAATGTCAAGGAGACCGTCTAATGTTGACATTGTTGTTGACATTGCAGGGAAAAACTTACCAAAATTGCTTAAAATCATTCAAATAAGGAGAGAAATAATTTATTTGCTAATAATTATGTGGCTATCACTCATGCCACATGTGCACTGTGGACATTATAACATTGGAGATGCTCTTAGGTGTATAATGAAGTTAAACCACACACGGGAAAAGTTTAAATCTTATAGTCACTATTAGGTAAAAATTCCAATAAAGTAACGTATTTAGAAGACAACAACGGTATAAAATCCTCATAGGGTGGAAAAGATTATCAGCTATTTTCACAACCTCTTAAATAAATCCCGCCGCAAAGCCTTTATTAAAATAATTCACTTGTTTATTACAATGTAAAGGGATAAAGGGATCAAGATCAATTATATATATCAAAATCCCATACTTTCATGTTCTTCAAGCTATCAATCTTCACTCCATCGGTCATTGGGATCTTATTTTTACTATAACTTCCAATAGAAAGATCTTACATCTAAATCACATTCTCTCAAGACACATCCCCAATATGGTCAACTACGCAACAAAGTTGATATAAAATCTTAAATATTTGTCACATAGTTAATATCCCACACATAATCCGTCTTCTTGTAATTAATTTTGGTAGGTTTTGGCTACAAGCCCTCCTACTTGTACTCTATTTTCCTCCACTTTAATAAATTTTATCTTTCCTTATAAAATCCTTAATGAATAAATCAAACACCGATGATCGAGCTCCATCTCAATGTCATTAACTCGAACTTCATCTCTTTAGGTTATTTCTGGTATTGAATTGTGTTAGAGAATGGAAGCAAATATCAAGAATTTTTGTCCTCATCTTTGGGTTTACCAGAAAAGGGCAATGAGAATAAAAGGTTGAGTCACTCTAGTTGAGGGAAAACCCTTAAGATCTAGAAAATAAGCAATACATACGCCACGGAGTAGCAATATTTGAGGGAGTGAAATAAAGTGATGTAGATGAAGAATTTAAAGAAGCTAAAAGATGGTCTGTTTAATTTGCTTCTCAATTATAGTGAATGAAGGAAATGTGATTTTGGAATTGAAATTCTTGAAGTGTGTGGATTAATTGCTGAGTTTTCAAGTCAACAACTGATGGACATGTCATGAGGACCTAATTAGAAACTAGTGAATTTGATTCTACTATGAAATGAGAGAATCATTTGGCTAATCCCAACATAATGTATGAGTTATAGCATCAACTTGTGACCCTAAAACTGAAGTGGCAGTAAAGGGAAGTGATAATGCAAATAGAAAGATGTGTTGATGGTCATACATGATTGCCCCTCCGACTTGTGTGTACTGCTTTATAGATGATGGCGTGAATGTGACGAAATGACTATTGACTCCCATTTACATTTGACAAGAATTTGGCATGATTCTTGAAAACGAGAATTGATCGGGCCAATTTATTATGAAAATGTTACTTGTACACCAAATGTATACAAATTTTTATGTACACACTGAAAATTGCTTGTGTGCGTAAATAATTTGTTCAAAAGCTGCTGAACAAATTAGACATATAGACACAAAATTGTACGTGTACAAGAACTAGACATATAGGCACAAAATTGTACGTGTAGAAGTAGCACATAAAAATAGAATCATAACCCATTCCCTTAACAATAATTAACCAGAAGTGAAATTCAAATTTCTCAATTCACTAATACGAGCATGAGTTTTTTTTAGTATATAGGAGTATGAATGGAATGAACCGTTATTATCGGTTCTTCGATCGGAATTGCATTACCGTTTCCTAAAAGGACAGCAAGACGACTCCAGAAGAAAGAATAGCAGCACCATGAAGGGTTCTCGGAGGCCGATCTACGCCGTGATAACATGGCTCCGCCGGCAACCGCCCAAGGTGAAAGCTTTCCTGGCCGTGATAACCGGCATGGCTACGCTGGTAATGCTTCGCGCCATTATCCAAGATCACGACAATCTTTTCGTCGCTGCCGAGGCTGTTCACTCCCTTGGGATATCCGTTCTCATCTACAAGCTCACGAAAGAAAAAACCTGCGATGGTGATTTTAAATTTTTGACTCTTCTCTCTCAAATAGCGCTAGGAATAGAAAAGATGCTTTTGAAGTATATTGTATTTAATTGATCGATTATCTGTTCCTAGTCTGATCAATTGAGTTTGAACCTACATTCTCCTTTCCCCAATTTTAATTTCCTTCCAAAATTTGCCTTTACTTCTTTCCCCAGCTTTTTCATATTCCTAACACATCCTATGCCTGGAAATATGGTAGAAAACTTGCATGTTCTGTTGATTGAGAATCTTTTTGCCAGAAATGTAGTGCTAGTCTTCTTTTTCCCGCCTAATCCCCTCTTTATGCTTTGTTTAACCCCCAAAGCCTATGATGCTAACATTTGATTGATATCATTGCAGGGCTTTCTCTCAAATCCCAGGAGCTCACAGCCATGTTTTTGGCTGTTAGACTTTATTGCAGTTTTGTGATGGAATATGATATACACACAGTTCTTGATTTGGCTACATTGGCTACAACATTGTGGGTCATTTACATGATACGTTTTAATCTAAGATCAATCGACATGGAGAACAAAGACAGTTTTCCATTATATTTTGTTGTGAGTCCTTAATAGCTTGTTGTTGAACCAAACCATACTAATTACTTATTCTACAAAGAAAAGAAGATGATGGGAGTAGTGTCCTTACATGATCCTTATTTTTGCAGGTCGTCCCTTGTGCAGTTTTAGCATTACTAATTCACCCAACCACATCACATCACATTGTCAACAGAATCTTCTGGGCTTTTTGTGTGTTTTTGGAAGCTGTTTCTGTTTTACCTCAACTCCATGTGATGCAAAACACTAAGGTATCACTAAAAAGGAAATTGAATTATATAGGAGTAATATGTTTTGGTATTCAAAAATTGTCTTAATCCTTTCTAGGTCTAAAAAATTGTGAAATGACCATATCACCTTTGCAACAACCTCCATGTTTTTCTAATTGCTCTAACTGTGAAGGTTTTACAGTTCAGGTGTATGATCTAGGTAGAGTAATTGTGCGCTCACTATGTGTTCTCTGTAGAGTAATTTTGAGTCAAAGTATAATCAATGTACTGATTAAATAATGGAATAACTGTGGAGAAGCTGCACAGAGGCGAAGAAGCGGCCTGATGGCTGGAGAAGTGGAAGGACCAGTGGGTGGCGCTATTACAGAGGCGGCGGTGAGACCGTTCGCCGGCTGCTGCTGGGCTGGTCCGCGCCTGAACTGCAAACCTCCATCCTTTCCAGATCTCAAACTTCAGAGTTTCTTTTGCTCATAATTCCAGAATTCTTTTTTCTTGATTTCTTGTATTTTTGATGTTTTTTTGGGAGGATTTCTCACTTGATTAAAAAAAAAATGGAATAAGTGTGGAGATATATCTAAAAATATATCCAAAAAATTCAACTTCCTATTTTAGGAGTCCTATACCCCCTAAAACGGGAATAATGTGGAACTACTCCCTATTTGACGAAATGGACAACATATTGCTCCTATCTAAGGCAATTTTCCTTTAAAATGCCATATTGGTTCTCCATTAACACCTAAACGATTTCATGGCTTAATGATCTTTATTGCTACTATTTCATTTACAGATTGTTGAGCCATTTACAGCTCACTATGTATTTGCATTGGGTGTTGCAAGGTTCTTAAGCTGTGCTCACTGGGTTCTACAGGTTTGGCTTCTCTAGTGCTTTAGATTGTGTGTGGGCTATCAGCTATGTGACAGACACATGAAGCGTTTTGGGGTCACTATGTGTTAACAGGTTTTGGATAGTCGCGGACATCTCCTCGTGGCTCTTGGTCACGGTCTATGGCCTTCTATGGTCCTTATATCCGAAATTGTTCAAACCTTCATTTTAGCAGATTTTTGTTACTACTATGTAAAGAGGTAAGTAAGATTAGTTTATTAATGTTTACTGGCCTGTTTGGTATCTGTTATTTGGCTGCTGAAATGACTGCTGAATTTTCCGAAAGGTAAACATCTGCGAACATCCATTTCAATCAAATAAGCAAGTTAAAAGCTACTTATACTGCTTATTTTACAAATAAGCAGAATAAGTCGATTATGACTACCAAACAGAGCCTACTTTTTCTTTGGAATGGATGGCAAGCTGCTCTTTTTGTTTACTACAATAACGATTTGCCAACTCTTCTCTGTGTGGTGCAGTGTTTTTGGAGGACAGCTTGTGCTGCGCCTCCCTTCTGGAGCAGTGTAAGAGAACATGATGATTAACACACTTTAGCGGCTTAGTCCTTTTAAATGGATGTTGTTCCAGCCTCCATTTTATTTTTTTTCCCATTTTTTATGTAGTTTATATCCTTTGTAGCCATTACAAGAAAAGCTATTATTCTTTTTGTATACAAGTAATTGTGTTATTGTTCATATGATATAATCTCTTCAACATTCTGCAATGAGCAGTTACAAAAGAAACATGAATACAGATTGGTAGGTAAATAAACTGAAGTATTGAAGTCTCTCTATCTTAACTTTCTTCTTTCAAGAAGCGAGTTTCCTAGTAAGGATGCCCTCTAAAGTGATTCCTGGACCAAAAGCCAAAATCAACCCCCAATCACAATCTTCTTTTTCTCCTACTGGTTCTGTTTTCAGAGTTTTCTCGTTTTTTTCCTCCAACATGTACTCTAGAACATACACAATAGTATTGCTGCTAGCATTTCCATAATCAGCCAAGGCTCGCCTGCTAGCACTTAGCTTCTCTGGCAGAAGTTCAAACTTCTTCTCGAGCCTGTTTAGAATTGCGGGTCCACCAGGATGGACTGCCCAAAACAGCTTGTTATAGTCATCCTGATTGAACTTGGCAACCCTCATCAACTTCTCACAGAATTCCTCAATGTTATCTTCTATTATCTGGGGAAGCTCTCTTTCCAGCTTAAAGCTTATACCTTCTTCAGTAAGCCGCCCATCAATGATCTTCTCTGTGTTGGGCACAAAATGTTGTATAGCCGTGTGAAGCTCAAAGAGAGGCCTTTCAGTTTCTCGAACCGGGTCCGAACCTATCACCATGGCCCCTGCTCCATCACCAAAGAGAGCCACACCAACCAGGTCATAAGGGCGGTCAGCACTTGGGGGTTTGAACCCTATTATGGTTGTTTCTGATGTGGCAAGTAGGACTCTGCTACCCGGATTGTTCTCTGCGATATCCTTAGCGACTCGAAGGCCAGCGACCCCACCAGAGCATCCGCAGAAGTAGAGCATTACCCGTTGCGTGTCCGGGGTCAACCCGAGGCCTTTTGCCAGGTAAAGGTCGCCACCAGGCAGCCGGGCTTCACTTGAGGAAACATATACCAGGTGGGTAATCTCTGACGTGGGCCTACCCCATTTCTGGATACAAATCCGTGAGGCTTCTAGTGCCATTTGGGTGACTGCTGAGTTGCAGATGTCCAAACGCTGCTTCACTGTTGGCAGACCTTCGATGGCAAGCTCGGGATACTTCGTTAGGATCTCTTCTGACATGACCACATATCTAGTTTTCACTGTCGTCGTCTTGCCTACATATTTAACGAACGAAGCCAACTTAAGTTATAATTAGACTCCGTTTGGTACAAATTTGGCATATCAGCAGAATAAGAAGAAAAGACGTCAATGGGTAGCATTAATCATCATCTTATTAAGCAAAATAAGTAGCATTAGCAAACCCTTATTATTTCACATAATTGAGTAGATTCAATCAATTGAGCCAAATAACCATTACCTATACGTGAACTAAGAGCCTAATGAGCACTACTACACATACGTGCACTAAGTTTCTTTATTGGGCTGGAATGGACATTACCAATTAATTTTACTTTTAATAAAAACTAAAAGTGCACTAAGTTTTTTTAATGGTCATTTAACCATTTAAGCAAAATAGCCTTAATTGAATCCAAGGAGAAACACCACTGTTAACTTACACAGTCGAGTGAGCTTCTGCTTCAGTGCTGGATCATCACAGTTGGTGTTCTTGAAATACCCATCAACCAGAAGTTCTTGCATTACAAGTTGGTGGGGGAAGGCCTTTCCGATAGCCATAATTGCGGCTTTTCCAGGGCTACCTGCCTTCTTAAGTCCCTGCATATTTGCTTCTTCGAATCCCATGCTCACTCTTTATCTCTTCACAAACAAGTTTGATAAATATCCTTTCAAACTTTGCTTTTGGGTGAGAAGACCCAAATATCTGCTATTTATACTCATCATCATACAATAAATAAAATAATAGTAAGATGGACAGAACTTGGAAGTATTATTGTTTTAATCATCACATGATTTGTAGCTGGATTAGTAATAAATAAAATATTGTTATTATATGAATTCCAAATTGATTAGTTGAGGAGTAAGAAGCTCATGAACAATCAACACATAAGAGAAGTTTGGTGTTGCCAAGCTTGGTAGTTGGTAGGCCTCTTGCAGTTCAAACAATATTTTTTTGAAGTTGATTTATTTATTTATTTATTTATTTATTACAATCTTTAAAAAAAACAAAGGATTCATTCATTCACTACCAAAAAAGGAAAATGCAACCGGAAATACAAACAATTGCGAATAGTAAACCTCCAATGTCATAGGAATACATAATACACCACGTAGTAATCTACATACAATTGTTGTGTTTGTGTAAAGAAATGTGATTAGGAACAAGTTGAGTAACAATAAGTGGAATTCCATGGTTTACTCATAAACCAGATGATTAACTCAAAACATCGGACCAAATCAAAGCTCACAGAACGACTTGCCACTAATGAAATCAACAACTTGGGTGGCAGCTTCATCAAGTGCAGCAGCTACTGCCGCCAAATTTTGCAAAAACTCCTCAGCCGTAGGTTTGTCACCATCCACTATATCAGTCACAGCTTTCAACAGAATTGCAGGCACCTTCAAAAGATCGGACACATACGCCACTGCTGCTCCCTACAATCAATCAAGTGCATACAAAATCCATACATTCATCTAAAAAATAAATCTCTGAAATTTTGTTCTCGACAATAAAAAAAAAACTATTAATGCTTTAAATCCGTCCAAATTCTGAATGTAGTGTGCAGTAAAACAGTGCTCCATCTTATGTTAGAGAATGTAATAAGTTTATATGAAAAAACGAACTGTGGCAAAACAAAAGGCCTACCTCCATGTCTTTGATAGTTGCATCATTAGCAGTTATAGAGGTTTCATCAATAGGTGATATATCTAAGGAATCACCAGTAGACAGTTTCCCAACCTGTTACATGCACAGAAGCATTATTGAAACAAAAAAAGATAAATATTTTTCACTATTAGTATAGAGATTGAAAAGATACTTGTTACAGTAAACCCACCTTCAAATTAAGTTCCTTCAAGAGGTTAGGAGTAGGAAAAGCTTCCCGCAAGCCAACGCCATATAAATCAAATACCTAGAAGCAATGAGATCACGCAGATTAGTTTTTTATAAGGTATTGCTGGTAAGTTATAATGGAAAATTGTTTAGACATTGAGCAGACTAAGCAGTTATCTGTGTGGTTAACACATGGAAAAAGAGAATGAAGGCTTTTGCCAATAGAATAACAAAAGCATATTCTCAGCACTATGTAGTCAGTCTATAAAAGCATAATAACAGGGGACTTCCGTACGAGACGATAACTAATTAAAACATACAGGACTCCCAAAGTTAGTATTTGATTCTTCAATAGAACTTGGGTCTTTGGGCTAAGAGAACTTTGAGCTACAAGGTGACTAAGGGGTTCCGGCATATATGAATTTAAGAAAAAGAGTTTATGTGTGCCAGTGTGTCAGTGTGCGTCTATAAATAATACATTACTACTACCTCTGTCTCATTATCGTGGACATGAAAAGTGAGCAGCATATAAGGAAAAATGAGAGGGAGGGAGTACACTTGTTTCAAACCTCAGAGGCTCTCTCAGGCCCTTAAACAGATCTTCAATGTTCTCAATGTTAGTATATTTTACGGAGTAATATCAAAATGACAAAATCCAATGGAGAGGGACACTTACTGGGATAGGTATTCTTCTGTCATGGAAAGCCGCATGTGATGCAACATACACATCTCCGATGGAAGCACCCTTTGCCTGTAAATGACTAAAAATCAACACAAAATCTGTACTCAAAGGAACATATTCTAGAATCTAGACATGTGCAGTTGTGCATTACAGAGCCACGAAACTCAAAAAGATAAAAAGCAACTTCATTAGAGGTTCACTGCCATTCCAGAACATGTACCTTAAACCCACCCGCAGTGCCTGCATTTATGATGAGGTCAGGTTTTAATGCTTGGATAGAGGCATATGTTAGAAGAGATGCAGAAACCGTCCCTACACTGTCAACCCCTAACAAAGAGATTTATCACATATAATTAAACAACCATGGCAACTCCAAGTGAACTGCAACATAATTTGAATAAACTACTTACCCAACACTGAGTCTTTTCCGGGACATACAATGTTAATTATAAGATCCTTATAGTTACCATAATACCTCACCCAAGGTACTCCTTTTGGAAACCTGTATAGTTCAAATAAGAAACTAGATTAGGGCAAACAACAGGGATATCAGTATATCACCATCAATTTATCATTTTTGTTGATCAGATTAAAGAAAATGGGAAGGACTAAGGAGAAACATTCTGTAGTACTCCGAATGCTATAACTAGGAGAAACCCATTTCAGCATTAGTGATTAATTTATCATCACGGGATTAACAGGGTAAATAAAGTAGAGGGGAGGAACTAGAAAGATGAAGACTGACGGCGAATCAACATCCTCGGCGAGTTGGAACTTGTTGACGAGTGGTGTCGCCTCCGTTTGCATAGCTGCAGATGGACCACAATCACGGTAATCAATCGTTCCGTTAAACAAACACCAGCCAAGCGTCTATGTACACGGAGGGGGCGGGGATAAGACAGATAATACCGACCGATGACGATGACGATGGTGGATATTGGGCGGTTATCGACCGGAGAAGAAGTTAGGATAGTTGACTCATCGTTGACTTGCTGCGCTTGATCCTCTGGAGGAGCCATTGTGTATTTGCCCTCAGCAGATCGGTTTGACGATTCTCTGCGGGTGACTCCCGACTTCGAGATCGTCAGGGAGTGGCAAAGTTTGTGGGCGATTGACCCAGTGTGGCAGTGTTAAGTGTTAACCAATTAAAAAAAGGGAGATTTTTTTTTTGATCATCCGGGAGAATGTGAAAATATTTCACAGAGTATTTTGCTTATGTGTCCCTAAATAAATATCACAAAAAGATAGAAATTTTAATATAATGACTTTGAATAAAGAAATATTTCTTTGAAAATATTAAAAATAAATAAATGAATATATTGACTTTGGTGATTAAAAAAATAAACAATCCATTTATTTTGAAGAAGATATTTTAAAATTTTAACATATAATTATGGTTATTTATAAAAAGTATTAAGATATGTGTCGAAAAATAAAAATAAAAATCATGAATCATTCTGTGATTTTTTACTGAAAAATCGTTCTATTTTAACAATATTAGAATTTGATAGAAAAAAAATCAAGGAAACATTTGACACAAAATCGATTTTTAAATTCTTTATTTTAATTTTCTGAACTCAATATATTCATTAATTGTTTTTTGGTTATTTAAAATATAGTTTTAGATATTTAAGGTAAACGATTGAGGGTAATTTGATCTCAAAAATGTAAGGGTCATATTTATATCTATATCTATATAATCTATATAATATAATAAAGCAAACTCATGGAGAGCTCTTTGGAAAAATAATTGACATGTGGCACCATCTTTTGTAGATAAAGTGACATGTGGCAACCACATAAAACAAAAACTATTCAACTTCCAAACTCCGACTCATATGTATTCCAATAAAAAATTAGATAAAAATTTGTGTGTAATATATACTATCTATAAGTTAGGAGTATTATATGGGTGTGTGCGTATTTATGCGTCACAATGTTGTGTATAAATATAGGTAAAAATTTACACTTGACAGTAGTACAAGAATTGTGTACAAAAATTTTAGCATCTTAAGATAAAAAAATATTTCTCTCATACTTCTTTTCCAATAAAATCGTGCGGGTTTTAAGGATCTTGAAAATTAATAATTATCCTAAAATAAGAATGATTTTGAAAAAAAATATGTGTCATACATATAAGTTAGGAGTATTATGTTTGTGTGTGTGTTTATGCGTCACAATGTTGTGTATAAATATAGATAAAATTTGCACTAGACTGTAGTACAAAAATGGCAAATACTCAAAAATAAAAAATAAACAACAGATTTTAGCCTCTTAAAATAAAAATTATTCCTCTCATACTTCTTTTCCAACAAAATCTTGCGGATTTTAAAGACTGCCTCGCTGATCAATGTAAAAAGTACACATGAAAAAAGATCTTGAAATAATTACCCTGAAATAAGAATGATCTTGAAAAAATTATGTGTAATATATATAAGTTAGGAGAATTATACACGTGTGTATTTATGTGTCACAATTTTGTGTATCAGTATAGGTAAAAATTTGTACCTGACAGTAGTACAAAAATTACAAATACTCAAAAATAAAAAATAATTAAAAAAAATTAGCCTCTTAAAATAAAAAATATTCCTCTAATCCTTTTTTTGTTGCCGATTCCTCTCATACTTCTTTTCCAACAAAATCTGGCGGGTTTTAAAGGCTGCCCCGCTGGTCAATATAAAAAATACACATGAAAAAAGATCTTGAAAATAATTACACTGAAATAAGAATGATTTTGAAACAAATTATGTGTACTACATATAAGTTAAGAGTATTATATGTGTGTGTATTTATGCATCACAATGTTGTGTATAAATATTAGGGGAAAAATTGCACTTGAAAGTAGTACAAAAATTGGAAATACTCAAAAATAAAAAACAAATAACAAATTTTTTCCTCTTAAAATAAAAAATATTCCTCTCATACTTCTTTACCAACAAAATCTTGCGGGTTTTAAAGACTGCCTCGCTGGTCAATGTAAAAAATACACATGAAAAAAGATCGTGAAAATAATTACCCTAAAATAAGAATGATCATGAAAAAAATTATGTGTAATATATATAAGTTAGGAGTATTATATGTGTGTATATTTATGCGTCACAATGTTGTGTATAAATATAGGTAAAAATTTGTACTCGATTGTAATACAAAAATCGCAAATACTCAAAAATATAAAATAAAAAACAAATTTTAGCCTATTTCAATAAAAAACTTTCCTCTCATATACTTCTTTTCCAACAAAATCTTGCGGGATTTAAAGGATGCCCCACTGATCAATTTAAAAAATACACATGAAAAAATATCTTTAAAAAGATTACCTTGAAATAAGAATGATCTGTAACGATGCACATCATGATTAATGGGGGTGCACACATATAATTAAAACAATGCGTACTTTAAATGGGCAGAAAAGGTGAAACTTATCTACAAAATGTCACCTCAATTTCTGATTTATGGTAGTACACAATTCTATTTCACATAATGAGCAATTGGGAAATCTTACGTTCCAAACTCATTCCCATTTTTCTTATTTAAATAATATTCTCAATTGATCCAAATTATATACGTAGTGTGTATAATGTAAAATTGATACCCCACATTAATATAAAACATAAAAACTCAATCTAAATACATGTACTAAAATCAATTGAATATTCATTAAATTAAATAATGTAATAAAAAATTCTAAAAGCTACTTTATACTTGATTTAAAGCAACACACCCCATTACTCAAACAATTTGAATAAAAGAGGACTAAAAGGACCGACGAAAATATAATGGAACTGTATTTTTCTTTCTTACTCACTGTTTTTTTACTATTCAATGTTAATATATAATATTACTGTATAATACTATTAAATTATTAAAAACTTGGGGACTCATAAATCGAGGGATCTGTTCTGTAAAACCTATTGAACCTCTTGAAAAATTGATGTGTGTAAGTAGTAATATATAAAAGGATGTATAAGAAATTAGAATACGAACCACACCATAGTTGATAATTTTAATTAAACATTATTATTAAATCATTGTTATATCAATATTTCATAACTAATAGATGACATTTATCAAAGGAACTCATTGTACAAAAATTAGGTTATAATTAGATCTTTTGAGTATACAATTTGTAAACAATAATTACTAATTGTCAAAGAAATATTTTCAACTACAAAATAAAAAATATGTAGGAATAATTTATTTGAATGATTATTATAAAAATAGTAGTTCAACGAAGGTTGCTGTTAACTAATAAGTACATAATAACAAATAATTTTGGTAGTAAACAAACAATAATTAAGGTAGCGAAAGTCAAAACTACATGTTTATATTTTGACCAAATCGCAAGTTGTATAGTCAAACCACACCCTTTGCATGTTGACCCACAAAACCAGTGAGTTAATCAGTTTATTAAAATACAACCCATCATGAAACGAGCAAGCCCAATGGAGTTCGACTCATTTTGACATCTGTATATATAGTCAATTGAGTTCTCTTTTAAACTTTGATCGTCGAATTCATATACAATCTATGGTCCCTATAAATTTAAGAAAAACTTTATACACGTATATTTTACCGTGCGGTGCACGGGTACACATACTAGTATGCACATAAAGCAAAACATTAAGGCTATATAGGCACACTTATCAATTAAATAAGATTTCCATTCTTTTGTGAGAAAAATGGCATTTGAACAAGTTTTCAAACAAATTTATAATGGGTCCTTCTACGAGTGGGAGAGATTCAATGATTTTCATCGACAATGTCCATGCCATAATATTCATAATTAGCACTTGATGGAGACTTTCTATGAAAACCTAAATATGTGTACATAACAATCTAAATAGAACAATTTTAACAGTTCAAAGTCAATAAACATAAATTAAAACATGACAAGAACAATAAATTAACCAATTTATGGCCTCGAGTTATTTAGCTATACATGTATGGAAAGCTTATATAGACACTAACTTGTGATCAAACTAACAAGATTTAAAAAGATAAGGAAGCTATACATGTATGGAAAGCTTATATAGACACTAACTTGTTATTTAACTTCTGATGAATGAGGGTCCTTAGCTTGAAGCTTTATCGATAATCTTATTCTTAAACTTGAAGATGAAAATGAATAATGGTGGTTGAAGTTTGATTGGTGATTTGAAGTTGAGAAAATGAAAGGAGAAGTTAGAGCAATTTTTCCTGAACTGAGTATTGAGAGAATATACCGAAATTATGTGTGGAAAAAAAGAAATAAGCAATGATAGGATAATCATCAAGTCTGATGCAACTTTCGAAACAAGTGTATTATTTGAGTCAAAAATGCTAGGGGTACACATGTTGTACACAACTTGTACACAAAATCTCGGTCACAGATAATTGGTACGGAGTTGCCTGTGAGGACAGATAAGAGTTGTCTGTGTACACGTTCAACTTTTGTTTGTGTCCATATACATTAATTTTCGTGTAAAAAGTACACTGTCAGTCGTCTGACACTGACACCAGCTTGCAAATCAATCTGTATATGTGCAGTGCTTGTGTGCACATGCAATATTTTCTGGTTGCACAGACAATTATTTGTTTGTGTGCACAAACAATATTTACCATACAGACAATAGTCTTGGTACTCACAAACTATAGTTGTCTGTGAGATCAACTTTAGTTGTCGGTGTGATCAATTTTAATTGTCTGAGTTAATTCCCTAACTAGGAGCAAAACTTAATAAAAGTGCAAAAGTAAGAGTTATGTGTTCCGTGTGTTTCAGAAGGAGTATAAAGACATAAGTTGACAAATTTACCCTTAATGAAAACTCTACTTTGTTTACAATATAATATGGAATAATAAAATAAAAGTATACATAATTCACAATTGCTGCTAATAGAATAATACGGACTTTTCTGCCTTCGTGGCTAGCACTCCCAGAAGTCGGAGCCCAAACCTCCCACTACTTGCACCAGTTGCTGCCGCCTGTCTCCGTCGTCGCCGGCCATCGTAGCCGGCAGCCTCCGCCTAGGTGCTACTAGTCTCTGCTATTGTTGGACGTCATCGCCGCTAGTCTCCATCTCCTCCAGCATCTCCGTCAGTCGCCAAATCATCAACAAAGTACGCTTAAAAAGTGTCTAAAGTATAAGTACATCGACTACCATCCAAGCAAAGCATTACTCTTCTTTTTC